TATATATATATTATATAATTTCATATCCATATATATATATATATATATTTCATATCCATATATAACATATATAATATATATATATATATATATACATATATATCATTATCCATATATATATATATATATATATATATATATTCATATCCATATAAAATATATGATTATATATATATATATATATATTATATATATATATATATATATATATATATATACATATACACACATATGCACACACACACATATACACACACACACCACACATATATATATATATATATATATATATATATATTATATATATATATATATATATATATATATATATATAGGGAGAGAGAGAGAGAGAGAGAGAGAGAGAGACAGAGAGAGAGAGAGAGAGAGAGCGAGAGAGAGAGAGGAGAGAGAGAGAGAGAGAGGGGGGGGAGAAGGGAGGGAGGGAGGGAGGGAGGAGGAGGGAGGGAGGGAGGAGGGAGGAGGAGGGAGGGAGGAGGGAGAAAGAGAGAGAGGGGAAGAGAAGGTAAAAGAGAGAGAGGAATGAGGGGAGGAAGGGCAGAGAGAGAGAGAGAGAGAGGGTGGGGGAAGAGCAGAGAGAGAGAAGAATAGAGATGAGAGAGAGAGGGGGGGAGGAGAGAGCAAGAGATAGATAGATAGAGGATAAGAGAGAGAGAGAGAGAGAGGAAGAGAGAGAGAGAAGAGAGAGAAAGAAAGAGAGAGAGAGAGAAACAGACAGACAGAGAATATGCCGATCCATTCCCACCGAACAACGAAAATAATCAATAATAAAACCCACTGCCAGTCAGCTCCGTTCCCTCGCGCAAAAGTGGATCCATCTTAGTCAAATTTTTACCCTACATAGAAAATGGGAAATCAGGCCGGCGGGTAACTCAACTATTTCGTATGAAGTTCCCGACAGACAGAGGAAGTCCTGGTAATCAAAGGTACCGCCTCAGGGCTTTATTCTTTCCCATACACACTTATGTCATTACTGGTATGTGTGTACGTGTGTATGTGTGTGTGTGTGTTTGTATGTTGGTGTGTGTATGTGTTTGTATGTTGGTGTGGGTGTGTGTTTGTATGTTGGTGTGTGTGTGTGTTTGTATGTTGGTGTGTGTGTGTGTTTGTATGTTGGTGTGTGTGTGTGTTTGTATGTTGGTGTGTGTGTGCGTTTGTACGTTGGTGTGTGTGTGTTTGTGCGTGTGTGTATGTACGTGTGTGTGTGTGTGTAAGGGTATGTTAACTATGCGAATTCAGGGTTTATATCTATATTTGTGTGTACCTGTGCATGTCTGTGTGCATGAAAGCTGCGAGTGTACACATGAGATTGAGCTCGGTATCTGGGCCCCTTCGCGTCAGTTCGCAACCGCGCCCGGCTCATCCCCTCCGACCGAAGGCATCGGCGTCTGCGCCTTGCACTTCCTGCAGCGCCCGTGAGGTCTGGCGGGAGGCCGAGGCTCCTCCGGCGGCCTCGGGGCTGACAGAAGGCCGCCCGTGACGCGTTTGTGTGGGCGCGTGATTGCGTGCACGCGAGAGCACGCAGGCGGTGGGCGGAGCGGCGGCCCCGAGGCAGGCGTGGGCGTCCCCCGCCCGCGCCGCCGACCGACCAGGTTGGTCCAAACAACGTCATTACTATGCAAATGAGCCGCCTTTGTACTAGCCGCCGCCCGCGCGCCCAGCCGCCGCGCGAGGCCACGCCCTCCGAGCACGCCTCACCCACCCGCGAGGCGCCGAAGCCACGCCTCCCGCCCGCGCGTCCACCATGCAGCGGACGAGTGTCATGGCCATGCACTGCTAGGCTCCGCCCAGCCGGGAATCCAGCCAATCGGAAGCCGCGCTGGTGGTCACGTGACTCGCACCGCGCTCAGCTGCAACGGCATCTGCAAGAGTCAGTGCGCCCTGCGCTGCAATCTTGCCAACACACACGCCCACCCCCGCGGCGCTCTGCGTTGGAGGCCTACGGCTTTCGAAGCGACGGGGGCGCGCGCCCCTCGTGCCCACCATGCCGCGCCCGACGCGAGAGAGCTACGGCGACCAGAAGCCGCCCTACTCCTACATCTCGCTGACGGCCATGGCCATCTGGAACAGCCACGAGAAGATGTCGACGCTGTCGGAGATCTACAAGTTCATCATGGACAACTTCCCCTACTACCGCAAGAACACGCAGCGCTGCAGAACTCCCTCCGCCACAACCTCTCCTTCAACGACTGCTTCATCAAGATCCCGCGGCGCCCCGACCGCCCCGGCAAGGGCGCCTACTGGACCCTCCACCCGTCCGCCATGAACATGTTCGAGAACGGCAGCTTCCTCCGCCGCAGGAAGCGCTTCAAGACCCCAAGGACGAGAAGGACGCCCTCGAGGTGGCCTGGCGCAGATCACGTCGCCGCCGCGCGCCGCGCCCGAGGAGCCCCGCCTGCCCCCGGCCTCCCGCCGCCGCCCCTCAAGCTGCACGGCGACCCCCTGGCGCCCGCGGCCCACGCCGCCCTGCTGCCGCCCCTCCACCTGCTGCCTCCGGCCTGCCTCTCGCGCCTGCCGCCCCGCTGCTCTACCCGCCGCACCTCATGTACCCCGGCTGGGGCGCCGCGCCCTTCCTCCACTCCCTCACCACCTACCTGCCGCACCCGCCGCCCCTCCCCCTCCGCCGCCGCCGCCGCCAC